TTTACCAACACCGAACTGCTCTCTTAATTGCGCACTGTTCATTTTGCCTGTAATAAATAATGACAATATATATAATATATAAACATTAATACGTATTCTTTAACATGGAATATACACAAGTCATCAAGAATAGTTTTTTTTTTTTTTTACTTGATCCTGAGCCCGGCAACTGTGGCCATTAGCTATTAGTAGGTACTGTAGGTTTTTGTATTGATGGTTTGTATGTTTTTGGTACGGTGGGGGGGAACACGTGTGTGTTTGTTTTGGCAGAATTTCGAATGGGGCACCCGTAGGTTTCTGCCATGCCCCGGGGGTGGGGGATGGCAGCACTTGCTCTCCGGTCACCGCGACTTGTCCGGAGAAAAATGCCGCCCGGTGGCCGAGGATCGAACCGCGACCGGCTGAGTCGCAGCGGAAGAGTCAGACCACTCAGTCACCTCGTCCCCCCAAGAATAGTTTAATTGAGCAAATTTGTAACTATTGTGTACCTTATTGCTATTGTTGCTGTTTTATTTCGCGACGATCGACCAGTTAGAGTGGCAACCAACTGCATTCCAAAATGTTATGCTATTATGCAACGTATGTTTTCCAACGACCCCATATTAATAATACAGATGATATATCAACTGATTGATACATTACTTCTATGGAAATTGTGATAACGTTACCAGAAAATAATTCGAGTGGCGCAAAAAGTAACTCTATGTATAATATATTGACATCATATCAACGAGTCGTAAAATATAATATAGTTTTAAACGAAAAGAGTGTATGAGGGATAAGTCTCTCCATATGGTTAATGAGATTTAAGAGATTGGGTAGTTTAATTTCAGCATATTTTTGCAGTTGTTTTTACTCGATGAAACTGATTACTTATTTAGTATATAAAATTTTTTTATCATATAGTTCATAAAGTGTACCTATTGTATTAAGTATTCATATACAATACCATAAATAATTAATATATACTAACTGTATTTCGTATATATTTCTTCCCAGTCCTTTGCATTGAATAAATCTAAATTATAATACTTCAGTTATTTTACAATTCCTGATTGCAGCACAATGCAAGGCATACATGTGTTGTCAAATTTGAAGGGAATTGATGTATGACACCTTATATTATTGGTCTAGGTGCGTAAATTACTATTTACCTTAGTAGGTAAACTATGTTAGAAAAAAAAAATTCAACCATAGAAGACGCAAAAAAATGACATAAATATAAATTCATTGTCGTAGGCCAGTTACATGAAATTTCGACAATGAAAGTTATTAGCAAATAAATTCAAGATGTGATCCTCGAATTCTGCTGAAATCGTAGATTTATAACTAATATATTATTATACAATTTTTTCATATTTTGCTGCTTATGATATGTAGTATAATATAAGAGTAGTAAGTATAAACAATGAATAATATTCTATCGAAAATAGTTTTTGTACACAAAGATCGAATTCAAATACTTGCTTCCTTTGGAATGTCCATCTATCAAATTATTTTTCCACAATTCAACTGTAATGAATAATGATAATATAAGTTTTTAAAGAACAACGAATGTTTATAACATTTTTAAAATCCACATAAGAAGAATACCAGGATACCTGCTAAGAGATAACATTTCTTACATGTTTATACACCAGTAAAAGTTGCAAAACCATTCAATTAAAATTTTAATATTATTGTGATTCATAATCTATTTAAAATACTTGGGTTTTGCATATAATGTAAAGTAAATATTCAACTTACTTTTATACATATAAATAATAATTGTACAGTAGAAAATTGATCACATTATTGTTAATTTAGATGTAACTCTAGATATAATATATGTATAGATGAATAGACAATACTAGAGAGCCTTAATAATAATTATTAATTATTAAGGCTGCCGAGAAAATATTTTGTAGGTATGTTATAATTTATAAGGTAAATATAATTATACTTACTAAAACACCATTTTCGGTTATATTTATGATGAGCTTGATCCAAAATAATTTATGGTAAGTATAAAATAAACTGTATTACAAAGGTGATGAGGTCGTAATATGGTTGACTTAGAAGGGGTCAAAAAAGTTGTTTTTAAACGTGATATGTACAAACATACTTGAATTTGTGTTCAGCAAAATCAATTTTGTAATGTTTATTTTAATATTAAATTGAAATACCCAATATTATCAAATTTAAAAATTATAATTTCATTTGGGTCAATTTACAATTTTTTATGGATTTTTAAATATCAGTGTGAGTTATGGGTAATTGTTGTATAACAGTCAATAAAGTTTATTTGTTAATTTATAAATTAACATCATAGTTACCGTTTAAATCAGATTCTATTGGAGCCTCAACAACTATATTTCTAGCAGAATTATTTGAAGTTTCTAAAAAAAAAATAATTTTTATTACTCCAATCACAGTTTCTGAACATGATATTAATAATTTTTACTTATAGAATACTATAAATCGATACTCTTTGATAATTTAACTATTGGTCACTGGTGTAATTACAGTTAGAAATATGTTTTTTTATGGTAAAAGTATTCATTGCTCCTCAGAGTATTACCGAATGTAAGAATTTCTATAATTGGAGACCAATTGACTTTTACAATCCCAGTCCTCCTCTGCTAATCCACATTATTTGTCCGTGTACCTTAACTTTTATTTCCAAATATTGTACAGCAACAAATCAATCCTGGGCTACAATCAACCAACGAACCAGCCAACGATGTATTATGGAGGGTGACCTGGAAAAACCGAATCTCACCAAAAAAATAGAGAGACCACAACCTTGTTCAAGAGACCTCCTAATATTGTTTTACATTTATGTTTGTATCACAGGTAATTTTTTATTACAGTTTAAAATAATATGAAATCACAGAGTATGAAGATTCTAGTAAAAGGTGCATAATCTTTCAATTTAAATTTTAAAATTAGTGATACATAATCTATTTACCATATTTGCATTTTGCATACAATTTAGAGTAACTTATTCATCCAACTTATTTTTATAGATATAAAAAATAATTGTGTGGTAGAAAAATGTTCACATTATAGTTAAAGCAGAATTCATTGTGATTATGTTCATGAATATATATTAGTGTATGGGTATGTTGTGAAGTAAAATAATATATTAATATACTTACTAAAACTCGATCCTCGAGTATTACTCTGATTAGCTTGAGTCAAAATAATTAATAGTAACTAGTAAGTATAAAATATGCTGTATTAGAATGATAATGAGGTTGTAATATGGTTGATTTAGAAAACGATGATCAACTTCTTTTAAAATATATTAATTATAGGTACTATTTTACTAACATTCTTAAATGTGTGTTTAGCAAAAATAATTTTGTGACATTAATTTTAATGTTCAATTGATATTTTATCTAATTTAAACATGATAATTATATGTAGGTCAATTTATACGCTTTTATTGACTTTTAAAATATAATAATGTGAATTATGATCATTTTATGTATCATAATATATTTTACAATGTTTATGAAAGAAATTAAACATTACATTTTTGTGATACCTAGATAATAATTCGACCTCAGGGGCAATAATTTCCAAATAATTTTGTAATACGTAATGTAAAAAAAATATATTGGTACTCACGTCCAGCATATATATTATAGCCAAAACAATTTAACGTAACAAATATAGCCAACATGTAATTTATATTTTTGACCATGTTTGTAGGTACAATAAATGAATAATATTTACGGCATGTAAGAATAATGTATGAAAAGTAAAAAATGTTTTCTAGTTTTGATATTTATAGTGTTATTCAGCAAATATAAAACACAACATGTGTATCCTTTAACAATTGAATAAACTATTCTAAAAAATAATATCATTCACACGTTTTAAAATAAGGTTCAACCTACAAACGATAAATGTAAAAAACCACATGTTGTTGTGAATAATGTATTAAATGTGCACAAATTAATAAGCAGTAACTCCATTTTTGTCAAAAACGAGGTTTTGGTGTCCATCGTTAGTTATTTTAAAAATCTAGTAGGTATTAGTAACCGGCATTTATACAATTTCATACAATAAATAATCCATCCATAGGCTGTGTTATGTTATGTATAAGTTGTGTTATGAGGAACCCAAGAAAATGTTTTGTTTTACAAATCGAGTTTTTGATGACCTGCAGCATTATCCAAAACATGATCATATGTAAATTCTTTTTTAACATTTTAATGTTTAGTTTTAGTAACCAATCATTCACAATACTTCCAGTGATCCCAGATTTATTGATAGAGTAGCACGAGACTGGTGCTTTTTCTACGTTAATATTTTTGATACATAGAGGCTTAGCTACTTTTCCTATTACTTAAGGTTTTTCCATTTTACCTTCCATGTTTCCACAAAGAAGAGCTGTTATTGTTTCTTTTGAAAATTTACCACCTTTATACTGGTCCCCTTTAAATTTTAATGTTTTTTTAAGAAATAGCACGAAAAATAAACATGTTTCATCACAGTTATTAATACAATCACTATTAAAATCTATTATCAGCTCACCTATTTTTGATTTCCATTCATTTACGTCGTCGAAATTGATATCATTAGATTCAACACGTACTTGATTCTATAAAATATTATGACGTCCTTTTCTAAGACATTCCAACCAACCCACGCACATTTTTTTAACGATATTTATTGCTCACCTATATATTTTTCCACCGACGAATGTGCTCCACCGCTGAGTGTCTCCCTCTCCACCATAGGGCGTGTTGCGTGTTAAGTTAGGTATTAATTTAAAAATAGAATTGATAGATCACGTTCAGCCTTATATACGTTGCTAGAACTGCCTTCACGGCCTAGAGAATATTCAACATAATGTGGCCTATCTATTTTCTTTAATTTGTATTATGATTAAAATATTGATACTAAAACATTATAGATTTACAATTACATAAATGTTTTAAGTATTAAGAATCTTTACAGTAATTAAGTAGGTTTTTAGGCTCATCGGCCAAAAAATTTACAAAACACAACTTAAATGTGATACATTTCATGGCGGATTGCATTCTACACGAGTAGCGCCGGGGATGGATATAAAAACAAAAAAATAATTACAACCCGAACACAACGACCACCTAGCCTTACCACAACGAAGAACTCGCAGAATATACGATGCATGGAGAAATAAACACAAACAAAAAAAGGCTTGTCAAGCTGGTAAGAGCAATGAGCACCCTAGGAAAAGGGATGAAAATATAATGATAATTACTTATATCATAATACTTTTCCACAAACATCAACTACTCACAAATTATATATAAGTGAATAAGAATGGATATACAAAGCTTCATCTTGTATTCGTTTGCTGTACCAGAATAAAAACTACGCATTGTGGCAGATCCATCGTAGAATTGTCCTCTAATGTTTTCAATTTTTAAGTTCAAAGATTGCAAAGGATTTTTTAATAAATTTGAAAGGGTTAAACAATCAATTTTGTCTGTTAAAAAAAAACATATATATAACCCTTCTGTTAACAGTTATACCCTCTGCAGAACTAGGCCCCAGGTGTAAAGGAATAAACGACGTTGTACCATCTTCATATTATTACATACGATTCTAAACTTTTACATTCCGAATTCAGGGAGAAAACGTAAATAAATGCTCTATGTCAGATACGGCTCTTATGAAATATTCTATCAACTATGTCCACCCTAAATTACTAAAAACTGTTATTGAAACGAATGAAGTTATTAATAAAATAATAATTAAAACGTATAAATATTTTTATTGATGCACTCATGGAAATCCAATCTATAATACTGTCCGAATCCGGAACGGTTTTGCGGATATCGAAGGTTACTAGCCATCCCGTTGGCATACAGGTTTCGAACTGTCTTTTCTCAAGTGTTGTGTTCGTTCGCTGCTCTTATGTACCGATGCAATACTTCGAGAGATCACGAGGCTTAACATCGTCTCAAGTCTTAGCTGTGCAATTCATATATATATATTATGGGCTTGGCGCTGAAAAAATTGTATTCTAATGAAATTTAAATGTATTCATTTGTTTGGGTAATCCCTCCAGCTCTCGTACTCAATACAATTCGCTAGTCGTTGCCGACAATCACAATAATTGCAGAATCTGCAGTAACAACGTTAACAAATAAATATATTTAAAGCAGAATTGAAGAGCTAAGGAAAAATCAGAACACAATATAGAAAAGGAGAATATATTAACAGACTAAATGACAAAATGCAAAAGTATTACATTTAGTAGATATGACTTTATTAAGCATTAATTTACACAATACGTACAAATGATTATAAATATTATTAATTTACCTGAGTAAATATTTTACGGTCGATAATATTTTTACAGTAAGCATAATATGCACATAAAGATATATTGGAGTTGCACACTTGAGAAGAGTAACTACCCAGGAGTAAAACTCGACCATATAACATTTAGTTTTATTAATCTACTAATTGTGAAATTTAAAGTAATAATAACATGTGCACGTATTAAAAAAATGAAGAAGTTCAATGATAGTGTGGCGTTACTAACTACATAACACAATATGGAAAAATCATGCTCTATCGAATAAAACGATGTTATTAGTACATTTAATTAGAAATATTATTATAGATAAATCTATAATAAATACGCATTATATTAAATATTGATTAAGTATAACTACATGAAAACATCTTTTCTAATAAAGTAAGAATTCACTCACATTTAATTACCAGAAATAAATTTAGATAACTTTATTATGATAAGTGTATTATTTAACTATTCTCATGCAATGTTAAACAAAACTCTACAGGCTCAATTTTAACTGCACCTATAAATTTAAAAAAAAGTATTTTAATTTTATATTTAATCAGATTTGTGTATTATAACTAGTCTAATAATTAATACCTTCTTCGATTTTCTTATTACAGCTCACAATATACTGGTACATATAACCTGAAATAATATGCATTGAATTCGGGTGGGTATTTTTTATTATTTTATAAGCAAAACATTTGCTTTAAATGTATACAGTAATAAATAAACATGAATTGTAAACGCTTTACAATTTAAATATTTATTTCATTAAAAAACATTATTATTTTAAACAATGATTATCAAAGTTAGGTCATGTTCGAGCTAACCTTAAGCTACATATAGGGGTTAAAAAAGTAAGATATAAATACTCTCTAAGTCAAAAGGAATGTATTGATATAACTTTTACTACGAAAACGATAAAGTAGGTTTGGGTCAATAAACTTCGGTTAAACTAACATAATTTGTAGCTGTAAAAGTGTAATTTATCAATAATAAGATATAAAATACCTATAGTACTATCTAGTCATCTTGGTGTTCATAGTTTTAGTGTATCTTGTCCACGGGCAAATCAGCGTCGGTAGTATTCTCTGTGTGAACTAATGTAGCCCCGATGAACATTTGACTGTGGCACATATTATATTATGTATAGTTTTTATATTTTACTGATCCAGATATGTAGTAGAATATAAGAGTAGTAAGTATAACCAATGAATGATATACTATCAAAAATAGATTTAATAAACTAAGATCGAAACTAAATATTTACCGCCATCGAACTTCTCTTTTAATTTTGCATCATCCATTTCACCTGTAATGAATAATGATAATAAAATGTTTGAAATTATAACGAATATTTACATTGTATTAAAATATACACTATTTTTCTATCAACCTTACGTTCTTACCTTTTATTAAAAAAGATTGTATAACAACAAATCAAACATTTTCAACGACCAACCAATGAACTGGCCAACAAGATACCATGAAATATGACCTAGAAAAACAAGTTCTCACCGAACAAACATAGAGACCACAATATTGAATATTCAGTGCTTCCCGTCTAGCACTTTGCCTCGCACTGAGGTAAGCCTCGGCTCTGGCATCGGCAAAGTATACACTACCGGTTATTCGTCACGCCTGTACTCATAGGGACGTTTCTTTTTAGGGTTTATCTGTTAAGGGCTCGTGGTATGGTGCACAGAAGCACGTGAACCACCCCAAAAAATAATTTTGAGCACACCACTGCACTTGCTAACATATTTAACTCAGAATACGGATGTTCTTCAAGCACGTAAAATGGTAGAAATTACTTTAGAAAAGTCCCCGTTTAGTTGTTGAAGCAGAAAAAGTGAAAACATTTTTCCAATTGGGCCAATAATTATTTCGAGCATGAAAATATTGAAATAACTGTTCAAGATAATTTTCCGGAAAATTAAAATTAACAATAAAAATTATTATGGATGGAGATTCTATTGAAGAATACATACAACCTACTGCTTATCGAAAGTTTGTTGTCGATGTGTATAATGTTATATTTGATAAACTAATCAATAGTATGGAAATAAGAAGTTTAAGTGGCAGTGAATTTCTAACCGATTGTGCTTTTTTACAACCTTGGAGATTCAATAGAAAAATTCCAAAAGAAGCATTTACAAAATAAGTTGGGCATATAGTAAATCAAGACAATAGCATAACTAACTTGAGATCTGAACCATAAAACATTACTTTAAGAAGTAACAGCTGTTAGAACTAAAAGAAAGCTCTTACAATTCTAATTTAGAAATATAAAAAATTATTTCATGTGTATAAATGTTTATTCAGGAGTCTAAACATATGTTTAATTTACAAAAGAAGAAATGCTGAAGTTGGCTGATTATTTTTATTTTCCCTGTAGACACAGTCCGGCCCTTTACCTAACCATCTAGTTTGGCCTCACTAACTGGAACCAAACCCTGTGCACCTCGACTGTTAGCTAACTGTTCCCAAAAGAAATGAAATTCAGTGAACCATCTGAATCCTTCTGCTTAGTTTGGTTTGGACGTTAGCAACGGAGTGTATTTGTTTATTAACCGCGTAAGTCTGTCCTAGTCGGAACTTGCTACGTTAAGGTCAGATAGACAACTGAGCGATTTTGTGCTCCACACTCTCATTTTAGGCATAATGGTCCGCGCACTGAGTCGCTGTGATTGGTTATTGCTCGCGGACTTCCTGCCCGCCAAGGTCTGATATCGGCGAGGGTCTGTTAATCCATGAATGGATCCGTCGTCGCAGGTCCGTGTTTAGTCGAGGTTGGAGTGACTTGGTGGCACCGCGGCCTTTTCGCGGCTTAAACGCTGGTTGTCGTCGGCCTGCTCGTGCGCCGCTGGTCACTATTATAGTTGAAAACGGTTGTTGTTTTCTAGTGTCGGTGTTGTTTTCGTTTAGTCACGCCGATAGACATCTGATCGCTGGTTGTGTGATAGAGTCACCTGGCATCGTTCGTTGCTATCGGTATCGGTTGCTCTTCCCCTTTTGGATATCGCTGAGACTTATTCGTCGGCGGGACGTATTCCTTATTCTTTGTCAATTAATTTTCCATTGAATGATTGCGTCATATTATACTTTGTATAATATGTAGACCATAATATATCCTTGTCACCCTTGCTCACCCTGAGCTTTTGTGGTAATTACTGGTACACATTGATACTTATTCTTTATCATAGAATGTACGCGGGTGATCAGGAATAGTTTGATTGAGCAAGTTTATGACTATAGTGAACGTTATTATAACTGTTGCAGTTTTATTTCACGACTATCGACCAGTGAGAGTGGCAACCGACTGCATTCCGAAATTGTATGCTATTATGCAACGTATGTTTTCCAACAACCTCATAACATGAATTTTCAACTGATTACTATATTAATTCTGTGACAATTGTGATAACGTTACCAGAAAATAATTCGAGTGGCACAAAAAGTAACTATATGTATAATATTATATTGACATTATTTCAATGAGTCATAAAATATTAAAATAAAATAAAATATAATTTTAAACGAAAAGAGTGTAGGAGGGATAAGACTCTCTTTGTAGTTAACTGAGTTTTAAGATATCGGAGTAGTTTAATTTCAAAATTTTTTTGCAGTTGTTTTTACTCAATGAAACCGATTACTTATTTAGTATATAAAATATTTTATCATATTGTTCATAAAGGGTACCTAGCTATCGTATTAAATATTCATATTCAATAATATAAATAATTAATATATACTTACTGAATCTCATATATCTTTCTTCCCAGTCCTTTGTATTGAATAAATCTAAATTATAATAGTTCAGTTATTTTACAATTCCTGATTTCACCCCAATGCAAGGAATACATCATGTGTTGGCCAATTTGAGGGGAATTGAAGTATAGTCAAAACATTGACATAAATATAAATCACTCATCCAATGTAGTGGGCCTGTTACTTTAAATTGGGACAGTAAAAGTAACAGATAAATTCAAGATGTGATCCTCGGATTCTGCTGAAATCGTTGATTTATAACTAATATATTATTATACAATTTTTTCATATTTTGCTGCTTATGATATGTAGTATAATATAAGAGTAGTAAGTATAAACAATGTATACCTAATATTCTATCAAAAATAGTTTTTGTACACAAAGATCGAATTCAAATACTTGCCTCCTTCGGCACGTCCATTTATCAATTTATTATTCCACAAATCAACTGTAATGAATAATGATAATATGAGTTTTTAAAGAACAACGAATGTTTATAACATTTTTAAAATCCACATAAGAAAATTACCAGGCTACCTGCTAAGAGATAACACTTCTTATATGTTTATACACCAGTAAAAAGTGCAAAACCATTCAATTTAAATTTCAAAATTATAATGATAGATAATATATTTATCATATTTGCATTTTGCATATAATTTAAAGTAAATAACCAACCACCTTTTATAGGTACATATAAATAATAATTATACAGTAAAAAAGTGATCACATTATTGTTAATTTAGAAGTAACTGTATATATATATATATATATTTATGTATAAGTAGCCAATACTAGAGAGCCTTAATAATAATTATTAATTATTAAGGCTATCGAAAAAATACTTTGTAGGTATGTTATAATTTCAAATATAATTGTACTCACTAAAACAATTTTTTTGGTCCTCTTTTTGTTCAGCTTGATTCAAAATAGTTTATGGTAATTATAAAATAAACTGTATTACAAAGATGATGAGGTTGTAATATGGTTGACATAGAACGGGTCAAGAAAGTTATTTTCAAACGTTTTAGTTACTCACCTTCTTAAATTTATGTTGAGCAAAATCAATTTTGTAATATTAATTTTAATACTAAATTGAAATGCCCAATCTTATCTAATTTAAAAATTATAATTTTAATTTGGTCCATTTACACTTTTTTTTATAAATTTTCATATATTAATGTAAGTTATGAGCATTTTGTGTGTAACAGTCATTAAAATATCTAAATTTCCGTTCTACACACAACATGGTCCCAGCTCAGTCAACTCATAATTTAACATGAATGCTCTATAACTTTTAACATTGAGTATGATATTCAGTATAATCAATTTTTAATAGTTAAATTTCTACAGCTAGCAATTTTAACATAATAGTTACCAGTTAATTCATAAGTATCTTCATCTACATCAGAACTATTTGAAAATCCTACAAACAAATACATTATTATTATCTCCAATTGCAGTTTCTGAACATGATAATAATAATTTTTACTTATAGAATACTATAAATCGATACTCTTTGATAATTTAACTATTGGTTATTGGTGTAATTACAGTTAGAAATATGTTTTTTTATGATAAAAGTACTCATTGCTCCTCAGATTATTCCTGAATGTATGAATTTCTGTAATTGGAGATCAATTGACTTTTACAATCCTAGTCCTCCTCTGCAGTAATCCACATTATTTTTCAATCTACCTTACATTCTATTACCATGGATTGTATTACAACAAATCAACCCTGGTCTATAATCAACAATATATTATAGAATTTGACCTGGAAAAACCAAGTCTCACCTAACAAATATAGAGACCCCAACAGCGTATCTATGAACGACCGTAAAAACCTTATTCCAACTTATCCCTGGGCATCACGGAAAGATGACACTATTATTGTATACAATAGTATAATCCCATAAGTTTCCCGTTATTTGTCAAATGTCTATTAAATCCGTTTTTAGCTGATATCTCATACATACTCCTAAATACGTCTACTTACCAAATATCATCTCCACAGGTCAAGTAATTTTAAAGATTTCGTGTTTAATCGAAAATACCACTCTTCTTTATGTAATACTTTTATTACTTATTTAATTTTTATTATCGATTCAACTATCAGATTAAATGAGTGTAAAAGTTTTTTTCACATTTTTTTAAAAAAATTATTATTATTATTTACAATCTATATATTTATGTTTGAAGAAAAGTTTGTAATTTTTATTACAGTTCAAAATAATATGATATCTCAGAATGGAAAGATACAAGCAAAAGGTGCAAAATCATTAAATTTAAATTTTAAAATTAGTGATACATAATCTATTTATCATACTTGCATTTTTCATACAATTTAGATTAAATATGCAACTTACTTTTATACATATAAATAATAATTGTAAAGTAGAAAAGTGATCACGGCATAGTTAAAGCAGAACTCACTTTAGGGATATACTATATACATAAATGAACAATTGTGTGTTGGTATATTGTAAAGTAAAATATAATTATACTTACCAAAACACGTTCCCCGAGTATTACTTTGATTAGCTTGAGTCAAAATAATTAATAGTAAGTAAAAAATATGCTGTATTACAAAGATGATGAGGTCGTAATAAGGTTGATTTAGAAGGGGACGACCAACTTGTTTTAAAATATATTAATTTGGTACTATTGTACTAATATTCTTAAATTTGTGTTCAGCAAAAATATTTTTGTGGCATAAATTTTAATATTAAATTGAAATGCTAAATTGAAATTGTATATAATTTAAACATAATAGTATTTTTAGGGCCATTTGCACACTTGTATTATATTTTTAAATATTCATAGCTGTTTAATTTAATTTTCAAAAAGTTTTGTAATATGTAAAGTAAAACAAATATATTGGTACTCACGTCCAGCATATATATGGCCAATACAATTTAACATAACAAATATAGATAACATGTAATTTATATTTTTGACCATGTTTGTAGATTCAATAAATGAATAACATTTATAGCATATATCTAAGAATCATGTATGAAAAGAATAAAATGTTTTCTAGTTTTGATATTTATGGTGTTATTCAGCAAATACAAAACACAGCATGTGTATCCATTAACAATTGAGTAAACTATTCTAAAAAATAATATCATACCTACACACATGTTTTAAAATTGGGTTCAACCTACAAAAGATAAATGTAAAAAACCACATGTTGTTGTGAATAATGTATTAAATGTGCACAAATTAATAAGCAGTAACTCCATTTTTGTCAAAAACGAGGTTTTGGTATCTATCAATAGATATTTTAAAACGCTATCGAGTTCCAAAAACAGTTTAACTGAGACAATGTGTTAACCGACTGCAGTAGAATCCTATACTAGCTCGCAGTTTAAGCAAATTAAAAAACCATGGCCAAAGAAAATTATCTAGGAATTTCACCGGTTTCAATATATTTCTATACTTTCCCCCAATCCACCATTGGGTTGAACTTTTAGTTTTTGTTGAAAGCTATAATTATAGTAAAAAAAACAACATTTTCATCAAATCTTTCCAAACTCAGCTCATGGATTGACGCGCTTTGTACACCGATCACACACGCATGATGCAGTTATGATATGATTGTGATTATCTTAAATTATTTTACTATAAGTAATAAAGCGTACCTAGATTTAATTAATTTTAAGGGTTAATTTTAAAATCCAATATTTGGGCTAATTTTATTAAAAAGTTAAGTGTTATCTTCGAATTTAAATCATTTCATAATTTAACATTTTATTTTATTGTTTTTTTAAATGTTTGTTTTTATTTATAAAAACGTTTGTCTACATTTGAAAATTTGGATATTTTGAACTTTGGATTTTTTAACCGATTACTGTTGTCTCCGTCTTACAAGTGTGTAACATAGCAAATTGTACTATCAGAAAATCACGTTCATCTCTGTCAGTTTAAAAACTAGAGTAAATTGACCTCTGATGAGAATTAAAGATAAGATCATTATCTAAGGAACCTTTTAGGTGTTTATTACATTTGAATTTGTAAAGCAAGTTATGAGTATCTTAAAATTATAAATTATTTTTACATCTTAAAAGTTAAAATACTACAAATATTCTTGCCTGGGCATAAACGAGTTAAAGAGTTAAGTTTATTTTAACTTTTTAAATTGACTTTTTAAGGTCTTCGTGCTGCAAAAATCTTGGAAACGAGTGCTCCTAGCTTACAAAAAAAAAAAATAATAATAATAATAATATGTCGATTTCGATACAACGACAATGAAAACCATTACAGATTACCGAAGCTCATATTCTTGTGTGGTTAACATTTTTAACCAAAATATCAGTGGATCACTGTGGATTGCCACTGTACGTCGATGACCAATTCTAACTCTGATATATATATATATATATATATATTTATAGATGTGGAAAGGTGCATTTTGTCTTACGTTATGTTTGTTTTGAGATAGAAACTCATTAAATAACTGTACAATAGCTGAATCTAGTTAGTTTGTCAACATTTTTAGGTTCAAATTCACTTTGGGTACAATAAGTAAAAACAATATCTGTGTTTTATTTTATGGCATGAGTGAATACTGCGATGAGCTGCAATCACCGTTATCATATGCCACGAATTTGTTAGCAAAGACCACGGTGGTTAAGAAAATATATTTTGGTAAAGCGTTTTATAAAATTGCATTTCTTTTATATTCATGTTTAGAGAAAGTCACCTGACGTGTCATAGTAAATGCATGTTACATAGGTAACGAAAAAAAAACAAACAATTAGAACTGGTTCTGATCGGAGCGATGAAGTTTTCGTTGTACAACAATGAGTTTTAAAATTGATTTTATGTAGTAATAGTTTAAACCTTTAAAGTAGTAGGTGTGTATGGTGTATGTTTCTATTATTGCAACCTACATTTAATATATATTTCATAACCCACGCGTTTAATGTGATAAATCACATTCGATTTTAACAGTTGGTACTAGCATAACCGAAATTTAGTTATAAAAAACAAATATAATGTAAGTTTGTTAAGTGTGTATTGTACATACTATATGCGCATTATACTTATCGAACTACCACTAATCTCCTGTATGCAATGAATTTAATTTGTTTTGTGTGTACGGAGAAGAATTTTAGAACACGGAAGTCCATAATAAAATATAGTATATTACTTTACTAGGTGCTCAATATTTAAAGCATACTTTTTTCGATTTGTCACAAAAAATAAAACAAAAAATATTCACTTAATCAAAGATCCTCACACAAACTTTCAAGTTGGTTTGTTGTATATCAAAACAAAAAAAAACACTATTAGACAATGAAGGGCAAACGGATACCAATCTGCATCATAGTATAATTAAAGAGATTCAATGTGAGTAACAGATTATGGTATATTATTATGGATATTTTAAATTATTATTACTTACTATTAATATGGTACCCGGTAAGTTGAATTAATATCTTTCTTTAATATTATCAGTGATACTAAAAAAATATTAAATATACGTATGTACAATTTCGATGTTTTGGAATCGAATTACAAGGAAATGATAAACGTTATTCTTAATGTTAATATGCAATTTTGTTCAATTTGAATTCAATTTGTAGCATTTTACATGATTCTGAAAGGTCAGTCAGCCCATATTAAAGATATTTA